GTGGGTGGGGGGGGGGGGGGGGGAGGGAAAATATGGCCATTGATTGCAGCTTGCCCGCGTACGTGCGGCAAGGATGTACCGGTGCCGGTACAGGAAAGACAGTATTCAGGCCCGTCTGTGGCGCTGACACGGTGCACATTGTCTGTGGTGCAGAGATCGGTGCTGGTTGCAGGTATAGAACTGTGGAGTCCAACCGCTCCAGAGATGGATCTCCTACTGGTGCTGCCATTGGCACCAAATTGATTGCAGCTTGCCCGCGTACGTGCGGCAAGGATGTACCGGTGCCGGTACAGGAAAGACAGTATTCAGGCCCGTCTGTGGCGCTGACACGGTGCACATTGTCTGTGGTGCAGAGATCGGTGCTGGTTGCAGGTATAGAACTGTGGAGTCCAACCGCTCCAGAGATGGATCTCCTACTGGTGCTGCCATTGGCACCAAAGTGGGTAATACTGATGGCGCCAGTGCCGTGGTGGCCGTCCTAGAAGGGACCGGCGTCGTCGACAATGGTGGTACTGGCATGGCCCACGGGGCCAATGCCGGTATTGGAGCTGGTGCCGAAACTTGCAGCGGTGCCAAAGAGGGTGGTGCCGATGACTGTACCGATACCCTGGGCAACATGCTCAGTGCCGGTATTGCTGACAGTGCCACATGGCTAGGATAGTATGGCACAGGCGCAGCTAAGATTGGCTCCGGAAGAGGACCCAGCACTGTGGTGGGAGGCCAAGTCCAGCCGAGCGTCAGGTGAGGCCTGGCTGCCTGTACCGAGTCCGACCTCGAAGTAGTAGCACACGGTACTGGTCCCACAGGGGATGGTCCCATTGCATATGTAACAGGTGCCGACCGTTCCCGGTGCAGAGGAGAAACTGGTGCCAACATGGCTCCAGGCGTAGAAGACCTCGACCTCTCCGCCTCAACAGATGACTGAGGGGAGGTAGTGAGGCTGATCAAGTCCTGTGCCGCCTCAAATGTCTCCGGCATCAAGGGACGATGCAAGGGTAGCTGACCCGGACTGGGTGGCCGGCCCGCTTGCTTCTGCCGCACAGCAGTGCTTGGAGAGGTCTCCACCGGCGACCCGTACCGACGGTGTAGGCCCAACCTCGACTTTCTGCTCGGATATATGTTGGGAAGTTAACACAGTGGGGCACAGACTATCCAATAAGTTCTTGGACTGCATTGGAGACAACTTTTTATTTCAGAAGGTTGAAAAAGCTACTAGGGTGGAAGCTGTTCTAGATTTGATCCTGAATAGGGAGGAACTGGTTGAGAATTTGAAAGTGGAAGGCAGCTTGGGTGAAAGTGATCATGAAATCATAGAGTTCACAATTCTAAGGAAGGGTAGAAGGGAGAACAGCAAACTAGAGACAATGGATTTCGGGAAGGTGGATTTTGGTAAGCTCAGAGAGCTGATAGGTAAGGTCCCATGGGAATCAAGATTGAGGGGAAAAACAACTGAGGAGAGTTAGCAGTTTTTCAAAGGGACATTGTTAAAGGCCCAAAAGCAAGCTATTCCGCAAAAGACTGCCTTGGCTTTACCTCGAGATCTTGCATGATCTAAAAATAAAAAAGGAGTCATATAAAAATTGAAAGTAGGACAAATTGCAAAGAATGAATATAGGCAAACAACACAGGAATGCAGGGGCAAGATTAGAAAGGCAAAGGCACAAAATGAGCTCAAACTTGCTACGGGAATAAAGGGAAACAAGAAGACTTTTTATTAATACATTAGAAGCAAGACGAAGACCAAGGACAGGGTAGGCCCACTGGTCAGTGAGGAGGGAGAAACAGTAACAGGAAACTTGGAAATGGCAGAGATGCTTAATGACTTCTTTGTTTCGGACTTCACCGAGAAGTCTGTAGGAACGCCTAACATAGTGAATGCTAGTGGGAAGGGGGTAGTTTTAGAAGGTAAAAGAAAAAAAGAACAAGTTAAAAATCAGCTAGAAAAGTTAGATGCCTGCAAGTCACCAGGGCCTGATGAAATGAATCCTAGAATACTCAAGGAGCTGATAGAGGAGGTATCTGAGCCTCTAGCTATCATCTTTGAAAAATCGTGGGAGACAAGAGATTCCAGAGGACTGGAAAAGGGCAAATATAGTGCCCATCTATAAAAAAAAGAAACAAGAACAACCCAGGAAACTACAGACCAGTTAGTTTAACTTCTGTGCCAGGGAAGATAATGGAGCAAGTAATTAAGGAAATCATCTATAAACACTTGGAAGGTGGCAAGGTGATAGGGAACAGCCGGCATGGATTTGTAAAGAATAAATCATGTCAAACCAATCTGATAGCTTTCTTTGATAGGATAACGAGTCTTGTGTGTGTCACGCGGTGTAAGCACTTACTCCTTGTGCAGATATTTCATGCTCTTGCCAGCTTGAGGAGGGTAAATACATGTAGGCTTCATCTACACTGCAGGGTTTTTGCACAAAACATTTTGTGCAAAAACCCATGCAGTGTCCACACCTCAAACGCATTTTTGTGCAAAAAAATTGACAGTCAATCGACAGAATAGAGGGCTTTTTGCGGTGTAGCTAAACCTCCTTCTACGAGACATAACTCCTTTTTGCGCAAGAGTTCTTGTGCAAAAAGGTGTGTGTGGACGCTCAACAGGGGTTTCTTGCACAAAAAGAGCCTATCGGAAAAAAGCACAGGTGCAGCATGGATGCTCTTTTGTGCAAAAGCACATTGCTTTTGCTATGTGCTTTTGAGGTGTGGATGCGCTTTTGTGCAAGACGTTTTTGCGTAAGATCTCTTCTGCAAAAAGCTTCTTGCACAAAAACCCTTCATATAGACAAAGCCGTAGGGATGCCCTTGTTTCCTCACAGCTTCTCCTTTCATTTATGTTCTTGTCTAACTATGAGCTGGGGGAAGTCTTGTCTAACTTGTGAGGGAGGTCTAGGTTGGATATTAGAAAAAACGGTTGGACTAGATGACATCCTGAGGTCTCTTCCAATCCTAGTTGGAAGTTTAGTTTAGAAAAGAGAAGATTGAGGGGGGACATGATAGCAGTTTTCAGATATCTAAAAGGGTGTCATAAGGAGGAGGGAGAAAACTTGTTCATCTTGGCCTCTGAGGATAGAACAAGAAGCAATGGGCTTAAACTGCAGCAAGGGAGGTTTAGGTTGGACATTAGGAAAAAGTTCCTAACTGTCAGGGTAGTTAAACATTGGAATAAATTGCCCAGGAAGGTTGTGGAATCCCCATCTCTGGAGATATTTAAGAGGAGGTTAGATAAATGTCTATCAGGGATGGTCTAGACAGTATTTGGTCCTGCCATGGGGGCAGGGGACTGGACTCGATGACCTCTTGAGGTCCCTTCCAGTCCTAGTATTCTATGATTCTATATTTAAATCCCAGCTTCATTTACAATTTCGAATGTCTACATTTGAATCCCTCTCTCTAAAGAGGGTGCAAGTGAAGACATACCTCCTGAGAATTAAGTCCTTCACAATGTTATAGTAACTCACAAATCAGACAGACACAAATCAGACATCAGACAAACTTATACGGTGGGGGTGGGGAACCTTTTTTTGTGTCAGGGGCCACTGGCCCACAGAAAAATCAGTGATTGCACCAAAGTGACATGGCCCCCAACTGAGAAGCAGAAAGACACTCCCCACACTCCTCTCACACATCAGAGCCCAGGGCTAGTAGATTTTGTGAGTCTCCCTAGGCTCTGAGGGTGTGGGAAGGGGTGAGAGGTGCAAGCTCTCCTTACTCGCTCTCCCTGGGTTGATACAGGAGGTGTGGGCTCTGGGGTGGGAATGAGGGGTTTGGGTGTTTGAAGCGGAAAGAGGTGCAAGCTAAGGGAGGGAATCCTTACACGAGGCGTAACAGTTAACTCGAACTAAGGACTTAGTTTGAGTTAACGTTTGACTGCCGCGTGTAGCCGTGGGCAGTTACTTTGGACTAGGGGGATTTAAAAATGGTGCCCGGACAGGAACATGCAAATAAAGCCTGGGATATTTAAATCCCGGGCTTCATTTGCAAGTTCGAATGCCTATATTAGCCTCCCTAGTTCGAACTAGGGGGCTAGTGTAGACATACCCTTAAAGACTAACAAAACATATAGGCTGTGTCTACGCTGCACCCCTTTTCCGGAAAAGGGATGCAGATTAGACCAGTCAGAATTGCAAATCCGCGGGGGATTTAAATATCCCCCCCGGCATGTGCATTTACATGGCTGCCGCTTTTTTCCAGCTTGGGGATAAGCCAGAGAAAAGCGCCAGTCTAGACGCGATTCTCCGGAAAATAAGCCCTTTTCCGGAGGATTTCTTCTTCCTAATCTGCATCCCTTTTCTGGAAAAGGAGTGCAGTGTAGACACAGCCATAGATGGTATCGTGAGCTTTCTTCCTCTGAGGAAGTGGGTTGTGCCCACGAAAGCTCATGATACCATTGCTAGTCTCTAGATGCTGAAAGACTATTCATTGTTTTTTAGGTATTTCCTTAGTTTACTTGACAGAAGACCCATCCCCCCACAGAAGGCTAACTGGACCTTTTGTCAGGGTTAGTGCTTTCATACCTTGTGTTTTTGACGGTAGACACGTCCGAATTGAGGGAGCAGATTTTGTCTCTCAGAATCCAGAGGGTTGTGATAAAAAACGTACAATTCATCTGTGGAAACACCACAAGTTGAGTGGATCAGACCCCAGGTCCATCCGGTCCAGTATCTTACCTCTGTATTAATACTAGATGCTCAGAGGAAGTGATAAAATCAGTCTCTTATAAGGTCTCCCTTTGGCCTTTGATAGATACAGATTGGTTAAAACCCTGAAGAACGGGGTATTATGTCCCTTCCAGACCTTTTGTTAGTCCTGATAAAACAACTCTGGACATTATTCTGGCTCCCCACAGAAATGAAAAATAATGACTCACCAAAACAATAAGGCAGACCGGTCCAAGAAAACTCCACAGAAAGCCATTATCTGTTTTAAGCCAGCAACTATAAGGTAAAATGACAAAAAGGTAACAGATTACTCCTGGCAATAAAAGGAAGTGAATTCTCCTCTTGGGGTTACCAGAGTTGCTAACTCGGAGAAATGGGAACAATAAAACCAGGGTCTTAATTCAGAAGAGCCCTGACACAGGTACCTTTTGGAACTGGGGCCTGGGAGAGGGAAAATGAAATACTGGTTGCACCTTTTTGAACTGGAACTCTCTGGGCCAGCAACATCCATGGTGTGGAAGAACCACGGATGTTCCAGGATCAGAGAGTCCTGGTGCACTGCAGGGGATGAAGGGCCAGGAGTCCAGCGCACTGTGGAGAGTGGGAGGGAGGCAGGAGCCTGTTGCATAACCCAGTTGGGGATTCTGGGGGAGCTGGGAGCCTGGCATGAGACCCAACTGGGCTGTCTGGGGCAGGGGGCGGGAGTTGGGAAGCCCAGACGGTGGCTGAGCTGGGCTGCCAGTGGGGTTGGGAGCTGCGGGTGAGGGGAAGCGAGGAGGGGCAGGAAGCCCAGAGCATGGTTCAGATAGACTGTGGAGGAGGTGAGGGGTCATGGCTCAGCTGGACTGGGGGGGAGCAGGAAGACTTGCATGTGGCCAAGTTGGGCCACCCAGGAGAGTTTTGACGCCTGGTGGAGCAGCTGGGCAGGAGTGGGGCCAGCAGCATGGGGGGCAGAAATGACCTCCCAGTCCGGCAAATTCTCACCCGGAACCAGTCAGGTCCGGAGAGTGCCAGACCAGGGAGGTCCAACCTGTATGACATGCCCAGGGCTTCACTGACCCTTCAGTTCCCTCTCGGGAAGGGCAGTGCTTGGGTAGAGGTGCAGAGAAGGAGTCAAGAGCCCAAAGTCTGTTTCTCACGCACTGTTGGCCATGTCACTTCCCTTGCGAGTCTCGGTTTGAGTCAGGAGTGGGAATTTTTAGAGTCTGGGGATAACAATTGCACTCTCTCAACAACCTTATGACCTGCATACTGGCGGCTAGACATGTGAAAGCAGAATACACTCGTATGTACACACACAAGTTTTGTCTTTCCTGCAAGTCTGGCATCTCTTTTCTTGGGCAGGGTGAACTTATGTCAGTCTCATAAACCTAGCTTAGAGAAACTAGTTTCATAAGAACATAAGAAAGACCACACTGGGTCGTACCATCTAGCTCAGTATCCTGTCTTTGGACAGTGGCCAATGCCAGATGTCGCAGGGGGATGGAACAGAACAGGGAATCCTCAAGTGATCCATCCCATTCGTAGCTTCCAATGAATAGAGGCTGGGTACATCATCCCTACCCATCTTGGCATGAATTTATCTGCGTTTTTTTTTTAGCCCTGTTAAACTCTGGCCCTTCACAAAGTCCTCTGCAAGGAGTTCCACAGGTTGACTGGGTGTTGTGTAAAACATCTGAAGAGGCAGGTATTGCAGAATACATTTGGTCTCTGCAATTCATCAAATAAGTTGAGAGATTCCTGCTCTCTCCCTGGGATGGACGCTGCACTTACCGCTGGGAATTTTTGTAACCTTCAGAATGCACTGCAGCAGAAATAGCCACGATCAGGGCTGGGAATCCGTAGCCGAACGGGTACATGTATCTCTTCTTGAACTGGCTGGCTCTGGTGTAATTCACCACCTTCAGGTTCCTGACAGTGAGGAAGAGGTGCAGCCCCTCCAGGAACATCCAGGTGAAGCAGGCCAGGAAGAGGTAGTGTAGCAAGCCAGCAATGACCGCACAGCCCTGGAGGTGACAGAGAACTCAGCAACTCTGGCATGTAGCTCATTATGGCAGTGAAAACAACAGTTATTTGATGTTCGGGCCGTATGTTGTGCAGGCCTGTGATAGAATAATTGTGGCAATTCTGACCCCACCCAGCAGAGGGCAGGGGTGTTGCACACATGTTGGATATTGAATTACAATATTTGCTCTAGTAATAGAAATGTAGCCGTGTTAGTCTGGTGTAGGTGAAGCAAAATGCAGGACTATGTAGCACTTTAAAGACTAACATTCATGTTAAAATTCGACACTCTCCGGGAAGGAACAAGATGCTCCTGTTATTAAGCTGCTTCAGAAATCTGAGTTCAGTTCCCAGCCCTGCCACTGACTTCCTGTGTGAGCAAGTCAACTCCTTTCCCTCCACCTCAGATCCTCTTCTGTAAAATGGGGATGATAGAATTCTGTCATAGAATCATAGAACCACAGAACTGAAAGGGACCTCCAGAGGTCTTCAAGTCCATCCCCTGCCCAAGGCAGGACCAATGCCAATTAAATCAACCCAGCCAGGGCTTTGTCAAGCCAAGACTTAAACACCTCTAAGGATGGAGACTCCACTATTTCCCTAGGGAACCCATCCCAGTGCTTCACCACCCTCCCAGTGAAATAGTTATTCCTAATATCGATCCTGGACCTCTCCTACTGCAACTTGAGACCATTGTTCCTTGTTCTGCCATCCATCACTACTGAGAACAGCCTTTCTCCAGCGTGTTTGGAACCTCCCTTAAGGAATTTGAAGGCTGCAATCAAATCCCCCCTCACTCTTCTCTTCTGCAGACTAAATAGATCCAATTCCCTCAGCCTCTCTTCAAACGTCATATGCTCCAGCCCCCTAATCATTTTGTTAACCGTCCACTTGACCCTCTCCAATATGTTCACATCCTTCCTGTAATTGGGGGTCCAGAACTGGACACAGTTCTCCAGATGTGGCCTCTCCAGAGCTGAATAAGGAGGAATAATCACATCTCTGGATCTGCTGGCAATGCTCCTCTTAATGCAACCTAATATGCCATTAGCCTTCTTAGCTACAAGGGCACACTGTTGACTCATGTCCAGCCTGAGATTGCAGGAGGAGTAACAGTTAATCCGAACTAAAGACTTAGTTCAGATTAACTTCTGACTGCCGCGTGTATCCGCGGGCAGTCAGTTCGGACTACGGGGCATTTAAAAATAGCACCCGCCCGGGAACATGCAAATGAAGCCCAGGATATTTAAATCCTGGGCTTCATTTGCAAGTTTGAATGCCTACATTAGCCACCCTAGTTCAAACTAGGGTGGCAGTGTAAATATACCCTTTGTTAGGTGGATCCCATCTCTTCCTAACAATCCTTGTGCCCGGAACAGAGTCACATGGTCAAAGAAAGCAAAGCCCTCTCTCCGACACCACCTGCACAACCACGCTGTTCCCCATGGCTTATCTCAAGCTGCTTAGACCATGAGCTCTTCAGGGCACCAACTGTCTCTTGCTATACATGCAGTGCCCAGCACAAGGGTGCCCAGATGTCAGATGAGTCCCGTCAGCTACTATTATAACTCAAATAAATGCTTAGAATAGTTGTGTTAGGGGGTAGCTGAGATAGTCTGTACAGGATAAACTAAAGAGACAAGAAATGGTCTGGTAGCCCTTTATAGACCAACAAAACATGGAGATGGTATCATGAGCTTTCTTGGGCCCGGCCCACTTCTTCAGATGTCTGGAGTCACATCTGAAGAAACTCCGGACATCTGAAGAAGTGGGCTGTGCCCACGAAAGTTTAAGTTTATAGACCCGTTGTGGCAATTCTGACCCCACCCAGCAGAGGGCAGGGGTGTTGCACACACGTTGGATACTAAATTATAATATTTGCTCTGGCCAGGACTCTGAGCAAGGGGTGTTTGAAGTAAACCAGGGACACACTTGTTTCAGCATACACACTGTTCTTCCCCCAATAGCCAGTGCCCATTGACGGCTGTGTGGATTCCACCGGTGGGCCAAAGGCACTTTTCCACAGTGGGAAATGAGCATCCGCCCAAAAGTGCAGCTTCAGCTCTTTGTGGTTGTGGAGCTGATTTCTAGTCCAGGGTCCCTCTTATGGCCGGGGAGCCGAAGCCCAGAGATACTGAAACTCCGGAGCCAGACTCTGATTTCACTGATGCTGGTGTAAACCTGGGGTATCTCCACGGAGGTCAGTGGTGTCAAGCTAGCAGAAGGAAGATCTGAATCTGCACCATTTCATTTGTTTTGGACACAATACTACCAGGCATGTGCAGGGTCTCAGGGCCAAACCAACCCCCCTGATTTAGGACTGGTGCATTACACGTGCTTTGGCTCACAGTCTGAATGACCTGCCCACACCAGCAGTTCTGTGTGCGCCTCCATCCCTCCAGCAAACTCCCTGCGCCATCCTCCCATGCTCCTCTCCTGATCCCTGCAAGACCCCACCTGCCCGGCCTCGTGCCAGGCTCTGTGATCCACCCCCGGCTGTCGCCTGAGTCTCACCCCTGCCCTTGTCTGGAGGTGCTGAGTTTTTATTTTCCAGGGGTGCTCAACCCCTGTTCTGCCTCAGGCTCTACCCCTACTCCACCTCTGCCTCGTCCTGTCCCTCCCCACAAGTACCTCCTGCCTGCTACTGGACAGCTGATCTGGAAGGCTGGAGGTACTGATCTGTGGAGCCTGCTGGTGAGTGTTGAGCACCCACTATGTTTTTTACCCTGGGTGCTCCAGCCTCAGAGCATTGAGGGCGCCATTTTGAGAGAGCGGGGGGAGGGGGTAGCCGTGTTCACCAGGACGCAGCTTGCTTTTCTTCCTGTTCCCTAACGATAGAGACTGAGGGGAAAGTACTTGGGTTCCGTGAATTATTCCTTTGCACCTCCCTTCCCTAGCCAGGAGTCCCGCCCGCTCCCCCGAAACAGCTGCCTTGCAGAGCACCCACGGAGCTGGCACCTATTCCATTGTCCCTTATTTGCTGTCCTGCCCACAACCCCTGTCCTCTCTGGGAGGGTCTGTCTGGTTCCCCAGGCTCCCTCTTCACCCTGCCTCCCAAGTCAGGGGCTTCACGTGCACCGCATTCCCCCTTGTTATTTCATTATAGACGCATTCCAGGGCCCCAACCAAGTTCCAGGAGCCCTGGTGCTCAGCGCTGTACAGGGAGTGTTTACATTGTATCTGGGAACACGGCCAGCTGCTCAGGTACCATCACACCTGTGCAGAAGCTGTTGGCCCACTCCGTGAGGCACTCCCCCTTCCCCCCAGCTGCAGTGTAGACGAACCTTTGAAGACAGAGCTCTATCCACCAGGCCACACTGCCTGCCACCTGAGGCGCTATGTTGGAGTAGGAAGCGCTTTACCTGATGCCTGGTACTGTCCACTGCCGTGACGAAGAGCAGGTCGGCCACAAAGAGGCAGAGGCAGAGCTGCAGGTGGATGGAGGTGCTGACGTTGCGGATAGAGCGGCACAGGAGGAAGGTGAGGATGGCGAGGAAGAGGCACAGCAGGGAGATGGACAGGCCCACGTAGGTGATGATGCTCAGGGCGCCGTCTTCCTGCTAAAGAAAAAATTAAAGCCAGAGAAAATCTTGCAAATCGCGCTGTAGGAACAGGCTCTGTGAAATACCCGGATAGTTTCCCATGGCAATCGGAGCTCCAGCTCCATTGGTGGGGATCCCCTCCATGCCCTGCCCCTTCCACTAGAAAACACAGAGGCACAAACAGCACAGGTCTGGAGTTTGCAGCCCCAGACAATTACGTGGTTCTCTGGATTTAATAGTGACTGCGAACAGACTGGACCAAATATTAGCTTGCACAGGATATAAGCCAGTCTGTAGGACGTCTAACAGACCGGCCAAGTGCAGGGGATCATGACTAGCGGCTGGCTTCAGCCATTGGAACAATTCATAGCACGAGACATTGCTCCTTTCCTTTCCGTGCTGCAGGCCTGCAGTTTGGGTGTCCAAGGGTTTGGGCGCTCTCTTGAAATTCCCTGCGGGTTTTTGTCTGGGTGAATGCAACCCCAGCTTTCTGCGCATGGACCAGGAGCAGTTTGGGTGTCCAAGGGCTCAGGTGCACTCTCGCAAATCACTGCGGGTTTTTGTCTGGGCGAATACAACCCCAGCTTGCTGTACATGGGTTGGGAGCGTCGGCAGATGTTTGAAATACCTGGCTGACATGCCTGGCCATCAGGACGGCAAAGCTGGACATATGGTTACAGGCGCAGGTGGTGTGTGTGTTGTTTGCACTGAGCAGGTTGCAGCCCTCTTTGGACCAGGTGCTTTTGTTGCCAACAACATCCCAGAAAACACAGACCGTCTCTTTGTTATTCTTCAACTGGGAACAGAAATTGCAGCAACAATGTCAGCACCACACACTAGTTTAGCTTATACTCACAGAGGATCCAGAGTTTGACAGACAGGTTGGGACCAGTGTGGCCTTAATTTTTTATGTCTAGGGGAGAATGAATTGGAGCACATAAAATTTTGTTTGCACATGGACATTTGGATTGGGGTGGGGGAGCAGAATCAAGAGATTTGAACTGAGAGGGGGCTCAGGCTGAAGGTGCAGGCTCTGGCATGGGGCTGGGGATGAGGGGTTTGAGTACAGTCATCCCCAAGAGAGAGGGCTCTCCCCAGTCCTCTATCTCCACAGCAACTTTGGCCTTGGTGCAAGGTGCCTCTCTGCTAGCTGAGGCATCTCCAGTGAGGCTGGGTTGGACTGGGGGAGGGGCGCCGCTCTATAATTTATGGCAGGTCCATGCTGCTGGGGATGGCGAGGGGAGAACTTGGAGGAGGACCCGTCCTCTGGTCTCTCGGGACATTCTGCAGTGAGGCCAACTAGAAGATGGCAGCGTTAACGGGCAAGAAAGAGGCGAGTGGCAGGGAAAAAACAGGGAAAAGACAGGCCCCGCTTCTGTTTCTAGCAGGGATGTGGCTGCCATTTGGGGGCAACTGGTGAGGGAGTATTTGGGAGGCCACCCACCCCCAGTCTGGGGAAGGGCAGGGACAAATTCTGTCTACCCCAGGCTCTCTTCCCTCCCCTGCTTCTTCCCCACACTTGCTCTGCCAATGCCCCTCCTCCTCTCCCAACCAGAGGCAGTAGTACGGCTGGGGGGCTGGAGAGGGCAGCAGTGGTCT